TAGTATGGCGTTCATTATCACTGAACTAGTATATATATTTGTTCAGGGGCCAGCTGAAGGACGCCTCCGGGTGCGGGAATTTCTCGCTGCATTGAAGACCTGTTGGTGACCTTCTGCTGTTGTCTGTTCTATGGTCGGGTTGTTGTCTCTTTGACACATTCCCCATTTCCATTCTCAATTTTAATCATCATATTTACCAGGGTTTAACTTTTGTACGCAAGACACACGTTTCGTCTACAAAAAAAATTCGGCAGTGACGCTCGAATAAAAAAAGTTAAACAGGCCAAATAAAGAAGAAGTTAAAGAGTATTGGGAACCTCCATCCGCGGTGTCTTAGAGGAGTAGGCCCGGGAAAGACCCCTTTTTGGCCCCAAAATATAACGTTTTTACAAAGTTGTTGAAAAATGTAAACTTTTAGCTATTTATTAGAAAGTAGAATACTTTGTTAAATAAATATGGGCTGTTTTGACAATACAATGAAATGCATCAGGTACTAGCATCATTTTTTCATGCAAAAATACTGAAATCTTCACATTTAGCATTTGTGCTAATTTTAAGACGATTTTTGTCTCAAATGGAAATGGCCGCACTTGTGTTCAGTCTTAATATTTAGATATATGTTGTATTTGATAATAACACATAACATATATAAATGTTGAGAACGAACACGATTGCGGCCACTTCCAATTTAGACAAAAACCATCCATCGAAAAGTGACTTCCAATTTACTGCAAAACATATTGAGGGTCGTAAACATAGCATTAATGACGTTTTATCTCGTTTGCAGATGGAAAAATTCTACAGCCTCGCTCCACTTGCAGAGAAGCTTCCACACAACTGTCCGGGTGTCTACAAAGTAATGTGGTGTTAAATAAAACAGTCGAATTATGGACACATGCTCTTGCTAATACAAAAAGATCTTTTCATAACTTAGGTTTTTCGCACTTTATAAGACTTCGATCTTTGTTGCTGAATGGTATTACATATAATTCACATAATTTACCTCTTATGTCTGACTTTTGTTGCTGAATGGTATTACATATAATTCACACGATTTACCTCTTATATCAGAGAACGTACTCATTGACTTTTTAGCACACTGATTTAAAAATCAAACACACCACACTATTATAAAACTTTAGTTATGTGGTATTAGACATGTTAATTTGAAGTCAGGGTATCATAATCCTATAGAAACGTCTTTAGGTGAATTTTTACCAAGACCAACTCTGATTGCAAATTCTGTTAACTTGCGCATACAAGGTTCACAAACTAGAACTAGGTTGCAAATTTCTTTTTCAATTTTACAGCAGATGTGTCTAAGATTGAGAAGGGGCGTGTACCCAAAGCCTAGTAGAGTTGTGGATTAATAGAAATATATGTTGTCAACACCAACTCCCCTAAATAAAAATAAAACACACATTAAAGTAAAACTCCAGTTGAATCCCCGTTTCAGAGGGTAATTTTATACATTTCCCAACTCATTCGGTATTCAAGAGCTTGCAGCTGCTACTCAGACTTTGTAAAACGTCACCAGTGTCTGAGCAAATAGTTGATGAACCAGGGTTATGTCAAAGAACGTCTTGTCCTTTTTCTAAAAAAGTTCATCGGAAGATACCAAGACCTTGTTGATAAATATTCCGTATCAACTTCACAAATAATACATGATGGTCTTGATGTATAGATTCTAGGTACTGACGTTGTTTATCATCTTAATAACGTGTTACAGTGTTCTTTTATTTGTCTTTGTTAATTATTAACGTTTACTGTTTGGTCCAATTTTGGTAATATCCTTTAGACGTAGCTCGGTTCTTGTACATTCCACCATTGTGTTGTTGTGCTGTTGTAATTTTTTGTATTCTTGTGTTTCAATGTTGCCTATGTGCTTTGTCTATATGCCATTTTGTTTTTCTATTTGTTTGTTTTTATAGTGATTGAGATAATAACACAATGTTGACTGCTGTACCCCTATTTTTGACATTTTTACCTATTATGTCTGTTTGTTTTGTTCACACATTGTTGTCAATATAATGGAATTTTATGCGTATTCTTGTTCTTCATTTTTGCTTATGTGCTTTGTCTAAAGAGTTTCTGTCTGCCATTTTGTTTTTCTTTGTTGACATAGTTGTTTTTTTTTTATGGTGATTATGATTTCAACACAATGTTGACTTCTGTACCCTACTTTTTTTGACATTTGTACCTATTATGTCTGTTTGTTTTGCTCACACATTGTTGTCAATATAATGGAGTTTTATACGATTGTCATACAAGTAAGAGGTTTAGCTAGCTTTAAAACCAGGTTTAATCCACCATTTTCTACATAAGAAAATGCCTATACCAAGTCAGGAATATGACAGTTGTTTTTCATTCGTTTGATGTGTTTGAGCTTTTGATTTCCCCTATTGTTAATGGACTTTTCGTTTTGAATTTTCCTTGGAGTTCGGTATTTTAGTTGTTTTACTTTTTATTGTTAATACACCAAAATGGAAATAACAGACACATCATTTATTGAGTTTTCGCAGTTTTTAGAAAAATCACAATGTATTGGGGAACGCATATGAAAATATTACCCAGGATGCATTAGATTATAGACCGGCGAATTGACGATGTTCCAGACTTGGACAGGAAGTTGGATATGTGGCGGAGTGCAACTAGTTTCATTAGATTTCTACCCTACCCTGTATAATCTAGAATAATGAACCAACAAAAGCCCCATTAAAAACGTACAATAAAAATCAGTACGGAGATAGCACATTACTCTATATTATATAAAAATAAGACCGTTAAAACAGAGAAAAACACAAGTACATCACAATGTATCGAAAAATGATCGCAGTTATTTAAAATACGCTCAAATTAAGTGTTCATAACCAGCTGGTATGATATCATGCCGTCTTTCACTGTATATTAGCGGGTTTTTTTCTCGGAGAAGATTCCATACATTAGATTTAAGGCGACTCGATCTTGTGCAATTCTTAGATTACTTTTTTTCTTAATTTAATGCATAAAAGGTAAGAAGAAACATTTAGTCTTTTCATCAGATTGATAGTAATCTAAAGGAAATAAGGATGCAATGGTTGATTTGGGTTAAACTTGTTGATTATTTAATTTGTGTTTTTGTTATCTATTACACCGTTATTTTAGAGTTATGAGCTTTTCCTGATTTTCAATTGTACTGATGATGTTCTTGTATGTACGTTATGCTATTTTGCTGAAAAGAATCATATCACATTTCCATGTTTTTATATTTGGAATCTAATCCGTCCTCAACTCGCGGGGAGAGTACTTCCACGGAACAACTGATGCGGTTCGTTATAACAGTTTACAATAGTAAACCTGATTACTTCAAAGATAAAACTACACCTGTCGATTTATGTACCTACACCAAACCTATTGCTTCCAAGATTTTTAACCAGAATAGAAGAGGGACGAAAGATACCAGAGGGACATTCAAACTCAAAGATCGAAAACAAACTGACAACGCCATGGCCAAAAATAAAAAGACAAACAGACAAATAAAAGTACAGATGACACAACATAGAAAACTAAAGTCTAAGCAACACGAACCCCACCAAAAACTGGGGATGATCTCAGGTGCTCCGGAATAGGGTATTACCCTCAGGGATGTAAAATCCAAACCTCCCGATTGCGCTTTTGCATCGTCCCCATCTATACAAATATAGTACCGCTGGTCATGTTATAACTGTAGTCCTTGTCATCGTAAACCATGAACAACTTAGAGAGCTGTTAGCCAAAAGGTCCAAAATATCAAATTCCATAGCCCTAGCGAGCCAGATAAACCATAACTTGACACTTTGTCTGAGAGGACCAAAACTGTGCAATCATGTATCCAGAAGCGCATTCATAATCAACAATGCACAATAAGATCACGGGTTTCTGACCCTTTCAAGAAGCTTTTGTATTGAATGCTTTATCCTCTCTTCACGACAAATATGTTGTTGTTCCAATAAAACCGGGTCGTCAAGATGTTTGACTAGTGAGTTGTACTGATTGTGCTCTGTGTCTATTGTTTTTATGTTAGTTGGTTTATTTATGCTTCGTGCCAATTTATTGAGTTAAGTCATTAGCTACTGATTTTTACAGTGTGTTCTTATGTTTTGCTGCATCACCACTGTCCCAGGTACGGGAAGGGTTGAGCGCTCACAAACATGTTTAACCCCGCCTCATTCTTTATGTCTAAAGTCAGGAGCCTGTAATTCAGTGGTTAATTTCGGTCAAATCGTAAATTGTATTGTATAAATTAGGCCGTTAGTTTTTGAATTGTTTCACAATTTTCATGTCGGGCCCTTTTATACCTGACTATACGGTATATGTTTTTCTCATTGTTGAAGGCAGTACGGTGACCTATAACTGCTTTTAACTTCGTCATTTGAAGTTTGAACTCTGGTGGACAGTTATCTCTTTGCAAATCATATCACATCTCCTTATATTTATAAAGTCATCTGATCTGTAATTTTAACGATTGTGTGCTATTCCCGATAGTAACATTTTGACAGAGTCTAAATTCGCATTGCGGGTGATGCATACATAGCAGGAGACACGTACCCTGTCGACGCATCCGGTCTCGCTCCTTTACAAGACTTGAACATTGGCAAACCACTGTCGTCCCAATATACTACCTAATATTAAAATTATAAAATTACAAAACACGGCATACCTTGCTCATTGTTGAAAGTCGTACAGTGACCTATAGTTGGCTTATTTTAAATCATACCACAACTCCTTAGTTTTCAAGTAATAGATACTTTCAGTTGCAGTAAAACTCTTGTTAGAAAATGTTAGAAATTGTTCGACAATAGAAATAACCGTTTGAGTAATTGATATCCACCGTTACCCTCTCCATGTCCGTACTTTCTCCTTTTAATGTTGTAACTTGTTATAACTGAAGACTGCTCTTATGTGAGATAAGTTGTCTGTTTCAAGTATAAAGATTTTGTTTAAAATATGATAAAATTCTATTTTAAACTATGTAATGGATTTTTATTTTAAATGCAAAAATAAAAACAATGTAGAAAAAGTAGAGTTATTGTCAACACATTTAGTCAGCATGGAACTTTTTAGTATACATCTGATGAAAAACTGTATGTTCCTCTATGACATGGGGGTCGACATTTGGAGAGAACACCATTTTACAAGTTGTACATATACGTTCAGATTTGCCTGGTATACGCTGTGGTAATCCTAGTATAGAGGTAGAGTTGATCCCCAAAAAGGGCCGAGGTTGCTTTGTTATGGCCTCCTGTTGTTGGGTAGCTGCTCCTGTTGCTCCCATAGGTCTGATTTCCTGGATTGGTCCATTCTGGTTGAAATAAATGAGAGAAGATGGAATGTGCATAAGATTTAAAACAGTATATCTGATACACTAAGATCTGTTAGTCTAAATATAATCAGAATAAACGTAGTTCAAACAGTTTAGATTGGATTTAACGCATCGTGACAAATTGTGAAAATGTTATAGCTGAAAAAGCAGGAAATAATCTTTATTTCATATCAATCAAACTGAAAGCCACTTGACAAAAACATATATATCATGGACCCAGCAGATAAACTTTAATGAGACCACAGTTCCTGTAAATACCCCACAAATAAATCGAATATCAAAGTAAATTAATACAGATAAAAATGCTTTCAAGAAAAAAGAAAAGGAGAACTTACATTGATCTTCCTGGCAAATTGTCTCCATTCTCCTTGCTTTTCTTTAAAGCGACCACGTAGGATACTTCTGACTCTTTCTGTCATTTCTGTTAGCTTTCTATCAGCCGTTGTCTTTGCCTTGCCTTGTTTCTTTAAGAAGGCATTTTAAATCAATGAATAGTAATGATAGGGGTAGTTATAAAATTCAATTCAATAAGAATATTTCCGAAAGTTTCTGGCCAAAAAGCAGAAATTGGGGGAAAAATCATCATTCAGTGACTCTTTTAAGGCATTTAATCACTATTTCGGCCGTATCGACTTATTTTTATATCTTATACTGGTGACCATATTTGCTTCTTTTATTTTTACCTACTATAGTTTCCATACATAAAAAAATCTTTAAAATTGGTGAAATCATCATGCAAAGGCAAAAACTGCTATAAGGAGTCAATTGACGATTTTAGCCACATTGACTTATTTGTAGATCCTGCTGATCATTCTTTGTCCTTAACATTTTCTATGTATCTACTACATTTATATTTGTTTTAGATGATAGCCAAAATCGCAAAATTTGGTAAAAATCCTCATTTTATGGCAAATGAAAGGAGTCGTCTGACAGTTTAAATCAAAATCTCAGGTATCCCTAGTGTCAAAAAAAAATCAAAAATGCACAAATTAAGAAGTTGCAGTTTACAATTCAAGAATGTAAATGATTTGCAAGGTTAAAAAACTACTGAGACATTGAAAACATTTAGACAGTTTTTTTCTGTTAAAAGAAAGACAACTTAGGTATTTCATTAAACTTCTCCAGAAGTCTTTATTTTATCTTTAGTTATAGAAAAATGAATACAACAAGTTATAAATTTCATGCTTCCGAAGCACTTTTCTGGATTTTTCCTTCATCAGGAACGCTCAATCCATATATTTGAAAGCCAAGGATGCATAAGAATCGAAACAGTTGAAGAGCTATGTAAACAAACAGACCTACAAAAACAATAGCCAAATCCATATATAAAAGGTCAACTTTGCCTGACTTAAAATTACGAAAAAAAGTTCAATCCCAGGGAAAATCGTAACATAGTGCCACCAATCATGTAGTTGTAAAAGTGACTTATCGAGTGACTTAAAGGTAACTTGCACACATAATTTATAAACGAAAATCAAAAGTAATAAACTATGTTCAAGCTAAGATCATCATCTATAACCACTCAGTATATGGTACTACATTGTAATTCAAATATACATTTTGAGTGATAGTTTAAAATGCGGTTGCAATTCCCTAAGACAAAGTTGACTTTGGTGACATTCATTTTCGACAAATGTGGACATCCTTTATGTACCAATAGTTCATGGCAAAGAATACTACTAGTATTTTGATTTTTATACATTTTGTATTTCATATTATCAATATCATCAGCGATATACATTCGTCACCTACATATGGAGTATATGTGCTATTTATAACTAATTAAAAATTCTAAAGCTTGCAGTGGCTATTCAGATTTTAAAGGGTATTAGCAACGATTCAGACAAAAGCTCAAAATATGATATTTTTGTTTTGTTTCAAACATTTATATATAATCAGCAAAGATACCAGGTTTTAATTTATGACGCGGAATATCGAAATAATATTTCGCTATCAGTTTGATTCCATTTTGTCAAAATCAGCTTAAAAATGTTAATGTAGTATTTGCTTGCAAGTCAATAATTAAACCTCATTTGAATCCGTATTCATACGAACTTTAATTTGATGTTAGCTTGGGATGGGTTGCGCATGTATTCTGCATATTCAGTTATCAAAAAGAAAAAAAAAGGTAAACATCGAAAAGCAAACCAAGGGAACCAAAAGGAAGAATCATGTCATTTTATACTGATTAAACGACGATTTACATATCTTTTTAATATATGACATGGAATTTAAGAGTCCTAGAAAAGCCGTCAATTTACGATCTGTCTATTTATATTTATATGATTGTTTGTATGACGTCTTGTCAAAAATACGCACTAAATGCTGATATATTATAACAAGTCCATGCATTATGCAAGTTATTTTTTTCTTTTGGACTGTTCGACATTTGGATATACGTTCTAGCATGTTACATATTGAATTAAATACGAGAATTTGAGTCAAATCGAGGAATACGAATTGGACAGTTAATGCCCCTTTAATGTAATCAACTACGATAAAAATAAACTCATCATTATATATATATATATATATATATGATAGATACCAGGATTAAAATTGTGTCCGCCAAACGCGCGTTTCGTCTACAAAAAGACTCATCAGTAACGCTTGATTCATCAAAAAAGTTATAAAGGCCAAATTAAGAAAGAATTTGAAGAGCATTAAGGACCCAAAGTTCCGAAAGGTTTTGTCAACTACAGCTAAGGGAGTCTAATCCTGGGGTGGAAAATCCTTAGTATTTCGAAAAATTGTAAGTATTGTAAACAGATAATTTATAATTATGATCATATCAATGATATTTCATGTAAACACAAAAGTACTGACTACTGAACAAAAATCATACTAAAGCAAGTAAATAACAGAGAACGTCTTATCTAAAAAAAACAGTTATCAGAACTTTGTTAACAAATATTTATAGTAGTCGTGACACAAATGACAAGTCATGAATTTTATATGGTGAATTGTATTCTTTCAATTACAATTAGGCGTTTAGTTGTTTATAATGCATAAATATATTCAGCTGCATCTGTCATTAACATGATGTCATACACCCGAACAACTTATTTTACCAAAGACAGGAGCGGCACTTGGTTATTTGGGTATGTAAATGATGTAGTTTACCCAAATACCACTCATAATAAGGTGCGATTGGCAGACTCCTTACTGATTTCTTCATTTGGTATGACATATATATTATCTTACCGAAAGTGTTTTCTTAAGTTCCTTTATTTGCTTTGCTTGTTTGTCAATGACAGCACGTTGAACAGCTACATTTCTGTTAACAGTTTGAATGGTTTGACTTTGTTGAGATATCACTTTCTGGAGGCGAACTTTAAACAAAAAAGTAATCGTAATGTTTTATTCCATATCCAGTAACATGCCGTCTGTCCCATCGTATCGCAATTAATATATTACGCTCATACATGTAAATACTATAACAGGGGTGTGTACCCGACACAAAAAAAATGCTCCAACACAATTTTGAGGAAGAAAGACTAAAATCGAAACTTCATAATTTTTACGGTCATCATAAAAAAGTTGGTTGTCCGATATGATGTGTCTGTGTCTCAACTCAATAGCAACAGATTACCTCGGTCTTAGATCTTTAGAACAGTCGTATCATGTGTAAATATATCCATTTTTTCCAATTCCCGTGAAATTTGAAGTAATTTGGATTCTTATATAGAGGATGCATGCATCTAGCTGAAGACACTTACTCTGACGACACACCCGGTTTTGCTCATTTTGAAGTTCAAGCGATTCCCTCAGTTTATTCTTTTTTTACATTTTCTTAATTTGAACATCAGTAAACTACGGTTGCCTCTGATTTATACCAAAGTTGAAACAGAACACAGGTCGGGATGCCTGCGTTCGAATTAATGCTTTTCAGAAACATTTTAAATAGACAAAGGCTATAAAACAGGCATTTTGTATTAATTAGATCGAGGCTGTATCGCTCACCTGTCAAATTACATAATTTTGATGCATTGCAATAAGAAGATTTCAAAAAGTTTCCAGCAAAAAGAAATCAAAAATAGTACCATCTTTCCAGAGCAAAAAGTTGAGTGACGATTTCATGGATATTGACTGATTGGAAAAATTAGTCATGCTGATATGTTTTGTTATTTACAGTTTCTCTCCATCTACTATAGTTTACACAAAAAAAAAACGTAAATTATTTTTTAAAAGTGTCCTTTTGAAGGCCGTACTTTGACCTATAGTGGTTTACTTTTACAAATTGTGACTTGGACGGAGAGTTGTCTCATTGGCACTCATACCACATCTTCTTATATCTATTTTATGCTTCAAAAATTTTCTTTTTGCACAGGTCTGGTTGTGCTCAAAGTATATTTCGTGGTGTTAATAGCCATTTCTGTCAAAAAGTTAAGATAAACCATAATAAATGAAGAAATAACCCCGATGTGGGTGGTTACGCCTACATAATTCAGATATTTTCTACACATCCCGTTTTATATTTAAAAGAGGAGATGTGGTATGATTGTCAAGAAGACAAACAATCCACCAGAGTCAAAATGACTTGGGGGAATGGTTGTTTTAAGTATCCAGAAATTATCATTAACCTTTTCATATTGATTGATTGGTGATTGCTTAAGGTCTCGTCAGCAATAACAAAAAATGGAGAAAAAAGACCAATTACTTAATGATTAAGTGAAATAGGCTTTGTTTCAAATAAATCGAGGGAAATTCAAAACGGAAAGTCCTTTATAAAATGGCAAAAGCTCAAATACATCAAACGAATGGAAAACAACTGTCAAATTCCCGACTTGGTACGTGTATTTCCTTATGTAGAAAATGGTTGATTAAACCTGGATTAAAGGAACAATCATAATTGAAAAGTCTAAGACCATCAAACAGAAACATGGCAAAAAACGAAAAACAAACAATAGTCTATAAAATACTACATAGAAAACTGAAGATTGATCAACACGATTGTATCAAATTTATCATTGACTGAAAGTATCCGAATTCAAGCGCCAACTACTTAAACACCTCACGGTTGTTTTTACACATTAGGAAAAGCGACAGGTAAACTATAGGATTGTAAATACATACGCATGCGTTTGGATTTTTGTATTTTCCATCCATTTTCCTCTTTTTCTGAATCAGAGCTGTATTCCGATTTAAAAGTGTTGCAGCCTGAAAGTAAGTACCAAAAAAAAAATAGATCACTGTATTGAAAGTCTTAAATAAATGCCATTCATTTTTTTATCAATGCTGTTAGCTTTAAGAGTAGCTATAACAGCTGAACGATAAAAGTTATGATAGTATCATGTAGTTTATTTCACGACAGGGCCATTTTGAAAAGTATGTTCTGCCTGGTTAAGATACAAATTAATTCATGTTGGTTGAGGATGTCCTTTGATGCAAACTTATACAAAAACATATCAAATTTGTAATCTTGTTGAACAACATTAGGATTTTAGTATATTTAAGGAATGACTGTAATATTTTTTCTGTCTATGAAGAAATAACATCAAAAATGTGGTGCACACTGAATAACCCGCGTAGCGTGTTATTTTAAAGTGTGCACCACATTTTTTATGTTATTTCGAATAGACAGAAAAAATATTACAGTCATTCCTTATAATTTAATTCTAAATTCCATTTTAAACCGGAGTAAATCATGAAAAAACGTTGAAGACGTCAAGGTCACATGACTAAATTCTGTCTATGAGCTGATAAACAAAACACCGTCAGCCAATCAGAAGACGCGTTAAATCCAAAATTAAATTATTTCAAATTGTTGTCAAATTTTTAATGTGTTTTATCTAGACTCTTTAATGATCAAATTTCATTGGGTTTTGAGAACTCTCGGATTATGACCCTGCCTGTGAAATAATTTCAGTGGAAATTGTCCCTACTTTGTTTCGATAATGTTTCATAGCTATTCTTTAAAAAGCCCACTATAGAGCACTGAATTAATTTCCGATTGTATGGATAAATATGAAATTGCTGAAAAATCTTTAAATACATTTGTACTAGTATTAAACTTAGAAGTATTCAACTTTTTGCGGCATCTTCGATATAAGATCATATAACAAACTTCTAGGCATAATACCATAAAAGTTTCCAAGTAAAATTTGGTTACATTTTTTCCAACGATTTGAATGTTACCCTTTCGCGACAATCTTGTAGATCACTAGTCAACCAATTTATAAGAAGTTTGGTAGAGGACCATCAAAGGATCGTTCACACCGTATAGCAATTAAATTTTCTCAATGTTTTAAGCAAAAAACTTCTTTCAGTCAAACATAAACTCTTGTGAGGACTCTCGAGATGTGTTTCACTTGTTCACGAGAAGAAGCTTACATAGTGATGACTAAAGCTCGGTTTGAAAAGGGTCTTATCGTTGGTTTACAATATGTTTTACTGTCCTAAACTACATATCATCACATTTTAAAGATAATAGATCTTATTTATGGCTCGTGGAAATGAATCCGTTCACATACTTACTCTAAAACTAATAATCGGTGTGTGAAACAACACCAAAATCAGAAGCATCCGAAATAAATTTGCCCATGCCAGACATTTAAAATATATCGTTACTAGTATTCAAATGAAAAGATAAATTTCAATTGACATCAATTAGAAACTCCGTGTAAGACCTAACTTATGGTTTGACAATTTTAAATAAGACACAAATCACTGGTCGAATCCCGAATACATTGCTGTACAGAGCAGCGGGACAAACTACATAGTAAGGAAGAATGTTACGAATGGAATAGATAATACAACATACCACTATCTGTTGTTTGTTTCTCAGTCAAAGCTTTAACAGCTTCTTTGATTAGATGGTCTGCTGTTTGCGTTCCCTGTGTATTATCATCATGTACAATCTGTAAACAATATCATATATCTTATTTGTAAGCATTTTCGAAGAGGGGTTACATAATTTGCACAAGCTTCTGCTGTGTTGGATATCTTACCTCCTATACATTTCTAGAAATATGATTGGTTAAAAGCGTCCGCGTGGAGACCTTGTATATTCCATATTAGGTTAGTAGGGAGGCGGGGCTTATTTCAATACACGATTAGTAGTGGTGTTACTGTAAATGCTCTTTTGTTCCGACGTTGGAAAGTTCCGGGCGGAAAGAACTAGCTAGCCGAAAAGTTCCGGAGGAACTTATTAACTAGTTACTTTGTTCTTCCTCTGGTTTAAAAGTTCCACCGGAACAAAGTGACTAGTTGAAAAGTTCCAACGGAACATATCAACTAGTTAGAAAGTTCCTTTTTGCCAAACTAGTCAAAGCCGGAACGAACAAACTAGCCCTTAAAGTTCCAACGGAACTTATCAACCAGGCAGAAAGTTCCATTTGGAGAATTGATGCAAGTAAAAGCGCAACATATTATATTTGAACCTTTCAAAGGGAAACCAAGATACTGATTACAAAAGTCAAATGGAACTTATCAACTAGCCACAAAGTTCCTCTTTGGCAAATAAGTCAAAACCGGAACTACTGACAAACTAGCCCAAAAGTTCCAACGGAACTTATCAACCAGTCACAAAGTTCCATTTGGAGAATTGATGCATAGAACCACATGAGGAGGGAGGTATTCTTCCCTCTCTTGAGGGTACTATGAATACTAAATTTGCATGATAATGCAACTTATTCCGTTTTATGTGAGCTATGAAATACAACTTAAATTTTGCATATTTGTCCCCAAAGAAACCACCTTCAGTGCGGTGGGTATTCTTGTAAATTAATGATTTGCTCTTATATATACTGATACTCATTCTTCCCCCTCTTTCTACACAAAGGACGAAATATGGTATATTCGGAACGATGTAACTAGTTGTTCTGTTCCTCCAGAACTATTCAACTAGCTACATTGTTCCGGGACTTTTCAACTAGCTACTTTTTTCCGGAACTTTTCGACTGCACTCGGAATAAAACTACTAGTTGGAAAGTTTCGCTCTCACCCCATATGGAATTTACTGACCCCATATATATTTTATTAGGTCACTAGCACACTATGTAACTAATATTATTATATGTAAGGTTCAACATATGTTGGACATTTTTTTGAAAAAAAAATAAAACTATCATCTGCAATTTTTATAGAAGAATATGAACATTTAATACCAACATTTACTGCATTACTGCGTACACTTTCATATCAAATGATAACAAAAAATTAAATCAAAACTAATATGAAACAAGATTGTGTCCATAGTACACGGATGCCCCACTCACACTATCATTTTATATGCTCTGTTGACCGTGAAATTGGGGTCATTAAAATTAGAAAGATCATATCAAAGGGAACATGTGTACTAAGTTTCAAGTTGATTGGACTTTAACTTCATCAAAAACTACCTTGACCAAAAACTTTAAACTGAAGCGGGACAGACAAACGGACGGACGGACGGACGAACGAACGCACGGACGGACGAACGAACGGACGGACGGACGGACGAACGAACGGACGGACGAACGAACGGACGCACAGACCAGAAAACATAATGCCCCTACTACTATCGTAGGTGGGGCATAAAAATATCTTTTGGCACTGCATAAGGTGGTGTTTTTTTCTAAACTGCTTTACACTTTGACGTGCGAAATCTCCTCAATAACTGAAAATAAGAAGACATGATTTCAGCAGATTTAAAACCTTTGGCTAGCTTTTTATTGACTGTGAACAGTAATTTTTACGAAGATATAATCTTGAAGCTCTAAATCTGTTTTACCAATATTGAGTCATTTCAGTCCTTATTCAACACTATTTCATTTTCAAAGAGAGTTCTGCTCTGAAGTTTTGCTAATCAACTGATTGAGATCAAAGGAAATTTGATTGAATATTAAAAAGGTGGTTGTTTTTGCTTGTATGTGACATCGGTGTCCTAGATTCGGGGAAATACAGTTAAGCTACTTGTACATTGTTAGTCAGGACCGTAAAAAAGTATCTCTAATTGGAACAACGAATCATGTAATCCTGGTACCAGCACAGGCACTAGTCTCTAAATTGTTTAGTAGTATAAAGATATAAAGGTAAAGCAAAAATTCAGAGACAAGTACCTGTTAGTACCAGGTGTACCAGAAACATTGAATCGAAGTACCATAATAAGTAGCTGTGTTTCCCTGTCTTCGTTAAATTTGAAATAATATATGTTACATAGAAGTGCCATTATTTATCAGCAAAAATTTCAGATTTTTGCAATTAAACCAGAAAAGACAAGATAGGCAGCGATTCATACAAAAGCAGAGATAAGGTATTAATTTGATAACAGAAAAATAGACACAATTAAGATTTCATTCCAAATCCCTAACTACAAAACATCTTCTGAAAGTGTTACTGCATCTGGAAATTTTGAGATAATGACAACTTTTATTGTTTAATCAAAACTAATTGCTCTTTTTAGAACAAGAGAAAAGATTAAATAATTATTTATTACTTCTATGTAAATCAGATGTAATCGTCTCATATCTTCGTGCTGATGCCCCTCAGATATGAGAAGCTTACATCTTATACATCTTCTTCTGTTCATTAGGTAATAAAATAACTTTATAAACAAAACAAGGAGATTACAGTACCTGAATATTCTCTGTCAACTTGATGTTTTTTGTCTCCCGTTGACTAATCAAACATTCGTTCTTCCAATGCTTAGCCTGTTTTAAGAGACAATTGTTCTTCCTCAACAGATCCCCTATCTTCTTCTTATAGAACAGTTCTTCCTTCGATCCTTGGAACGGTTTGTAATGCCTCTTTTCCTTCTTCTTCACAATCACTTCCTAAATATGTTTTAACTTTCAAGTTTCATATTTTGATAAATGTATTAAAAACGAAGCAATTATGAATTTAACAATAAAGGCCTGTGAGCGTTTTAAGTTCATGCTAAAAATAAGAGCTTGAAGAGTCCAAAGGAGTTTACTTAAGAGGATCTCTTAGTCTTAATCTGCCGATTATTTTATACTTTGAGGTGTGGTATGGTGGCAAATGAGACAACTATCCACAAGAGTCAAAAATTACGCTGACTCTTGCGATAAAATTCGAATATAACGACCAAGGCCATATGAAAATTTTCAACAAATCTATGGCTTGCATGGGTTATTTCTTAATTGTCAAGATGTTGGCGATAGCGTAGCATCAAAACGAACTGAGAATGCATACAAATGTGGTTCCTTGTATTTTTAACTGTATGTCCATTTAAAAGTAAATTTAATATAAAAAGTTATAGTTTAACCAAACCAAGAATAGTAATGTCGAAAATCTTTAACTCGTGACCGAACAACACTGGTAATTGACTCATGCGCTACGCGCAATTGCTAATTCATGTGTTGTTCGATCACTCGTTGATTATTTTTATATATTCCAATTATTGGATTAGATATTCTAAGTATTATTAAAACGATGATTAAGCAAGAACTTATTACAAAAGTCAAGGTAGACGTTTAAACAATTATGTCAGTGGACAGTGTGTGGCCTTAGGATTCGTGAGGACAAACTGTTGTTGATGATATGTATATATTAAGTATAGAAACAATGTGATAAGGGGGAGACCATTTAATATTCTGGGGAGGAGGATTTTTTTTTTGCTGATTGACTATTCATTTTCATCTGTTGCTATGCACGCTTAAATTTTTCCATGGCTTTGCTGCGCGAAAATTTATTTTCATGTGTGAACACAACTGTTTCCCCTGCATTTTGTTCTTTAGAATATTCATTTTCATCCCGTGTCAGTATGCAAGGTTATTTATTTTTTAGCTCTTACCAAGCCATGACATTCATTTTTTTAAAATCCTCCACCCCCTCCTTAACTTACAAGTGCACTAGAAGAAATCCTAACGGCACAACCGTTTGAAAATAAAAGACTATCTATGATTACAAAGTTCGCCTCGAGTCCAAATTGGCTTGAATTTAATACGTGATCACGAATTACCAGAATCTGTGATAACTACTTCCTCACCATCGTTTTTGCGGATTTAATCCGTAATAACGGATTCATATGTTCGTGATAACGATTTTTATCAGTGATCTTAAATTCACGCAATATTTTTGAGAGGTACATTTTTTTAACTAAATGTCCTGCCATAGACAAGAGTGAGGAGTTTGTTATACTATATGTCAATTAAAAAAAAACTGTGATATTTGCATGCGCAATACACATAAATGAAATGATAGGGTTAACGAACGGTTAAAATAGATTAGAAATGAAAAATATTTTGGTTTGAAAATTATGAGGATTTAACACACACGAGGTTATTATTGTGTAAACTGGGTCGATGCACTCACAAACTATACATAAAAGTCCATCGTACACATCAATCGGACCTTATTGTAAAGTTTGTGAGTGCATCGGCCATAGTTTTCTAAAACAAATATGCTAGTTCTATATAAAAAGCATCCTTGCACAATGTTACATGATAAGTTAGCCACTTACTTTGTGGAAAATTTACTCAAAAATAAGATTCGACAAACTTCAATGAGGTGTAATATGTAGGCCAGAGTGACTTCTTTTTTTCAAAAAACACTTTAATGCTCCTCTATAGGCGCATGATTTCGTTCAACTATATGATGCATTTGACCTGAGATGCAAAACTTTATGCGGGAGTCAAGGAACAGTTAACTATAATTCAAAGTGACGTATTTTTATTGGAAGGTCTTATATTCCCTATGATGTATGTATCCTTACACTTAGTTATATAATTGTATGTCATTTAGGGATATGCGTGCTGCGGACGCGCACACACACGTAAGCGCTGTGGAGACAGTCCCCCTTTATTCTGGCGAACTAAAAATGAGGGTATAAGTAAGAAATTTATGTAAAAACTCATTATAAGTAAAATTAAGATATAAATAGAGATAAAAACATATTTTTTACAATCTAGGACTAAGATATATCTAATATCAAATTTTAATCTAAAATTTCAAGATGCACCAACGCAAGAAAAACGTCAATCTTAAAGATTCTTTGATCAAAGATAACTTCCTATGCAACCCCTCAAATGAAATGTTTCGTTTAATTGAAGATACACAACTAAGAAATGAACGAGGAGTTGTACCTTTACTTTCACAGCATCTAGATTTGACTTCAAGTTCCTGATTGTTGCTTCATGCAGTTGTTCACGGTGTGCTAATTCTGATATGACGACCTTGCTTAGACTACAGAATTTACAAGATCCAGCTCCAGCTGTAATTATCTCTAGAATGCCTTGTGGTCCGGGAAGTAATGGTAGTCTTATTGGAAATTCAATACACTGAGGAGACGGTGGGTACGGTATCAATGCCTGAAAATGAAAGAGCCCAAACAGATATCATTGTAAGGAACATAATTTATTTATTTCAATCATTATGGCGGTATGATAATGTAGACCTTTGGAAAAGTTCATGGAGTTTGAAATATTCTTTTTGTTTTTGTTTCCCACATTAGATATGAATTTATTTGTCACTGTAATCCTGCATATATTTTCTGTCTTAAAATCTTTAATCTAATAAGATAAGCAAAACATACACAGACGTTCAATAAAATCAACTTAAAAAATGCTATTTCATATAATGGATCTAATAAAATGACCATGTCAATGTACACACAACTCACCAATTCTTCCGTGATCCATTTTGCATTCTGAGTTCTGATGTCATATATCAGCTTCTTGTTAGAGGATTTGTTCTTTCCCTCTACAGCAACCTGTGCCGAGGTAGCTTTGTTATCATCTTTCTGTAGCGGAACAACCGGGACATAAGAAACAACAGCTTGTTCATTGTCATCATACTCTTTAACAACAGGCTGCTTTACAATGTTCAAATTTTCAGTCCAAGCTTGAGCAGGATTAAAGTCTGAAGCCAAGGTTTTGTGATCTTTATACACCGTTAATATTCTTTCTTTGAAAACTCTTCGTTTTGATGGCGAACACAATGGTACTCCTGGAGGTAAACTGACAGTGGTTTCTGTAAATTGAAGAGAAAACAGAATTTTGCATGTTTCTGTTGTAGGTTAATTTATAAGCTAACCCAAAACTTCGTTAAAATTCGTAAAAAGGGATATGGATGAACTTATATATGACGAACAATATCATCCAAAACTGGGAAGTTATAAATATACAAAAACGATTGTTTATTGTGTTATTGTTTTAAATCTTTACTCTTGCTGGAAGGTTCTTAACAATGAACCTTTGAACAGTATACATTTATTTCCCGTGCCTGAGGGGGATATGAAGATTTGTTCACCCAAGAAAATTCATATTTCACGAGTGCATCGCCCGAGGGAAATATGACTTTTCGAGGGTGAACAAATTTTCATATCTCCTTAAGCCAAGGGAAATGAATGTTTTATTCCACTACCTATACTTTTTTTACTTCCTGAACATAAGATATTGAATTACATATTTTTTTGTTTCTTATCCGCTTGTTTTTTTTATAACTAAACACGATATTAACAATGATAATCAGTACCGATCAAAATTTATTCATTTATTCTTTTTGTTTTGTTTATAAAACTGAAATAATTTTGAAAACGAAACTACTATACTATCTCTAAAAAAAAACGTTCAAAACGTTGTAAACATTATCCGCGCGTAATGTCGCACATGGAAGTCCCGACGTTCAGAGGGGAATATGAAGTTTTGTTCGAAGACACGTGGGATAGTCTCAACCAATCAAATGTTGATTTCGCTATCAATATTAACATGCAGTGGAATAAAATGTTTTATTTTAATCGATCTATACTGAATGTTTTAATATTGCCTCGTGGTAGCGTGTTCGCTTCGAGTTCAGGAGGTTCGAAACCAAAGACTTGAAAATTGGTATTTGCTGCTTCTCCCGGCTAAGAACGCGACATTAAGGAGTAAGAGGAAAGACTGGTCGACTCCGAGTTAGAATAATGGGTCCGGGTAGGATGACATGTCTTCCTGTGGGCTGTTACCTTGTGAACTAGCATGTTAAAAATCCGGCTCAGTGTGTCGGTCTAGTACAAAGCAGGGATAATATACATATTACATGTACATGTTCGCGTCCTGAATATGCATTTAATCTGGCACTCCATCCATCATCATCATATTTATGTTTTAGAAAGAAAAAATATGGGATTATTGATATATTTCATTTGTCGAGTATCACACTTCCCACCTTTTTGGATTCTGTTTTGTAAATAACTGGGGAAGTGCCATAAAATGTTAGTTTCCTCTTTTTGCGTATATCTTTTTGGTATAAATTACCGTTTTGATATCGTGATATTTAATATCAATTCATGTATTACATACGTCGTTTCCTTGATTCTGTTGTTGGATTTGCGCCTGCTAATTTCTCTAATGTATCAAAGTAGAAGTCTTCTTCATAGCCAGCCAATCCACGGAACTGGAATGTGTTACTGATGCCAACAACGTGATCCCCTTTAGCCACATACAGAAACACAAAATCTACTCCGGGCATCCTGACATGCTAATTTAACAAAAACTTAAGATTTTAAGAAACTTACAATTAAGAATAAACAGACCTTACAACGCATTGCTGAAAACCTGGTGTAACATTTCAATTGTTTGTGTCCTTATTGTCGTCTTTTGTTTGAAAAACTCTTTTACCTTCGCACTGGTATGATAAGTGTTTTCCGAGTCATTTTCAGTTTACGAATTATTGTACTAAAAATAAGGTAACAACACCTTCGGGCAAGTTTGACATTAGATTGTGTTGACTGCTCTGTGTAGGACGTTTTGTTTTTACAATCCATAAAAATATATTTTTTCTCGTACGTACCAGACACGTGTCACGTGCCATTAACAGATAATATATATTTACATTATCTTTATGAACATTTTGACAAAAACCTTTTGGAAAATAATTTGCTTCATAATATTTATTCAGCTATAATGTTGTTGAACTTACTATAATTTGTAAATGAGTGAAACAAGGAAAATGCAGTTACATTATTCAAGACCAAGAGGATAATCTCTGTTTATCTATTCTTTATCAAAATAACACATTTATACTGATTAAAGATTGAATACACATGGTAACTTTTTGTACCAGTTGATGTTGTACAATACCGAATCACTCAACACTGAGATCACAAATTATTGACATTCAAACCGATTTATTCTGCAGAAAAAAAAAACATCGTAGATGAACTGGTTTTAATAAAAAAAAACTGAACAGAAAACTGCTTCTAAACACTACATGCTTTCCACTATGCATTGGCTTCCTTAATCACACCGGAAATCGGACAGATTTCGTATTATACTTCATCAAGTAAACGTAACGTGTGCAGTTCTTTTGACTGGTGCTCTTAGAACCATAAAGGAACTCGTTATCCAACATTTATGACAAAGTAATGTAAATAGTGGCATAAACTATGCCTTTGTTTGCAAAAAAGTCTTTGAAAGTCTTGGATAAGCTACGTTGAACGTTTTTAATAAGTTTGTCTCCGTTTATATGTTGATGTCTCTACACTGTATGCTGACAAAAATAAATTTTGTCACATTTATAGACATTTTTGTAGTAGTTATGATCCCATCTGTAGGAATTTGATTTAAAAAGCAGTATTTCAAGCAAGGCAGTTATATTATTTAAACGACTCACAAGTCTAAGAATTGCCAATTGCTCTTGACTGTGTTTGCTGTTCGATCTTTGCGTCGTGTACTCTTGTATATCAACATTCTTTGAAACAAGACTAAAATGTTAATAGTCTTGTTTGTTCTGAGCATAGCACTTGATCGTGTCGTGTATTCTTTACGAAGTCTATATTATCAATTGCAGTCATCGATTTTATAGTGTGTGACGGCACGTACGATTTCATACCAGTAGGTTTAAGTACTTTGAGCTTGCTTGTCATAAGTATAAACATTAGTTGATATACGGTACTGGTTGTCTTTTTCCCCTTGTACTTGTTTTTGTTATCTTATGTACCATTATAAAAGTTGAGTGTTACCCTGTGCTGATTCTTATTGTTTCCCCGAAGTCAGAAACCACGTTAGTGAATGTCTTTTTCACCCTTGTACTTGTTTTTGTTATCTTATGTACCATTATAAAAGTTGAGTGTTACCCTGTGCTGATTCTTATTGTTTCCTCAAAGTCAGAAACATCGTCAGTGAATCTTTTTTTTTTTATATCTTAATGTATTTTGTCACATTTCGTGAATTTTGTTTTGATGGCATATCTTTTATTGTATCTGTATAATTACTCACAAGTTTTTTTCCTTATAGATCCGAACGAACCGTAGGGTTAGCCAGAATGTATAGACATATGTCTGTTGTTGAAGAGAGTATGATGATGTTTAGATGTCTTGGTTTAAGTGTCGATGAGTTGCTGTCTCATTAACATAAGTGTATACCCCAAATCTCTTTCTATTCTTATTAAAGTGTACAATTAATTAATCATCATAACTGGTAACTTAAGTCTAATGACAATTAGTCTCGGACGAAAAGTGTACACTGTCCGTTTGAATACATGAGACGACAGAGGAATCTAAATCCGAAGAGGGACGTTACAACACTAAAGGAATGATGTCCTTTGTATTGAATAATGATGACTCTTGCAATACGAATTTAAATAAATCAAACTGATGATGCTAAATAATAAAGACAAATTAAAGTTAAGTTTCTACTTACATCAAGATCAGCATCCATAAACTGGACACATCTACGCCTGATTGAGTAAGCATGTCGGGGGTAAAGGGGTGCCCATTTATATGCCAAGAAATCATCTACTGAATTCCATTCGGTATTAAAAAGTCCTACATAATCCAATACTTCTGGATCAAAAGAATCTCCAATATTCCACTGTAATCTAATTCTGGTTTCGTTCGAATAGCAATCCCTTACTGGTAGAAAGGTTACTAGATCTGAAGAGGCATTGATATTTTCTAATTCAAAGTCAAAATCGGACATATCTAAGAAATGTAAGCTGAAAAAGAAAATCAGATTTTTTTTTTATGTTCTTGCTAGGAGGGGAGACAATGTCATTGTAAGGAGTGTCACCTTATGTATACTAAGTGGTGCATAAAATAATGTAAATTTACTTATTGTCGATAATGTTAAATACAATTTAATTTGATGTAAGCACATTTTATTAAAGTCAAGATCAAATCATGAATTTTTCCCAGAGTGTACGAGTGTAGGTTTTTTAAAAATGGAAAGGAATTGAACTGAACGACTATGGCTAAAATCGAGCACAATATTCAGCATGAATTTTTACAAATACCAAGCGTAACGCGTTCGTGTGTTATGATGAATTGATGTGTTTGAGCTTTTGATTTTGTCATTTGATAATGGACTTTACGTTTTGAATTTATCTTGGAGTTCGGTATTTTAGTTATTTTACTTTTTTTATTAGAGTATTTTGTGCAATGGGATTAACATTTGTAAACCATAAATGTATATATTTATGTATAAATTTGTCATAAAATCTTGGATTGATTTGTGTCTTTTTCATATTAGTGATTTCTCTTTCACTTTTATGAGTTATCAGGAAGTTGATATTTTGATAACCGTATTTTTATGATAGACGTTGGTTCTACAATTATTTGTTTTGACAGATATCTAAATAAAACTGTTTTTACGAAAAGCAGTGGAATTCGTTTTATTTTCCTTATTGAGGGAGTTATCCGAGGTTAAGCAAGCAGTAGATTGAACTCTTTCGTTGGTTAGGTTATACGTGTTCAGAAATTTGTTACAAAATTACACAACTTTTTAGCAACCATCATATGTTTATCTCTGTTCATGTTGTTAGTTGTCATTTGTACAGACATAAGGGTTATTGACTATTAAACCACTTTGGAGACATTATCATCTTAACTGATTTAACAGACTTAATATTACACACTTTAAAGACTCAATATTCTTCACAATAAGATACGCAAAAGAATTGACTTTAATATTGTTTGAAAAATGAAACTGCATGTACATTTCCATTATTGGCTCAGTTATCCAAAATGAATATTGAAATAAAGCTATGTCGAAAATAAAGTGTGTACCTAACTCATAATACGGTTGAAATTAATGTGCCAGGTACAAAATGCATTCCTGTTTTCGTCATTGCAAGCATAAAGAAACTAACATATGCCCTATGAAAATTAAAAAACACAAGAATTTGTATTGGCATAAAAAAAGAAATATATACATAAAGATATAGGATTCATAACAACACCATCAATGATACTGGTTGGAATATGTGTGTTCATTTTACCCCCCCCCCCCCCGCCCCCAATCTTGATAAAAAGGGCGGAAAACTGTCGTAGGTTAGTGGATATTCTAGGTAAGGGTTAGGTTTTAGGGTAAGAGCTAGTGTTAGGTTTAGGTATGGGTTAGGGTAAGGTTTAGGGTTAATGATAGTTTAGTATAGCTACATCTACATCGTTGAAATGCAAAGGGTCTAAGACCGGTCTTATTTGTTTTGACAGATATCTAAATAAAACTGTTTTTACGAAAAGCAGTGGAATTCGTTTTATTTTCCTTATTGAGGGAGTTATCCGAGGTTAAGCAAGCAGTAGATTGAACTCTTTCGTTGGTTAGGTTATACGTGTTCAGAAATTTGTTACAAAATTACACAACTTTTTAGCAACCATCATATGTTTATCTCTGTTCATGTTGTTAGTTGTCATTTGTACAGACATAAGGGTTATTGACTATTAAACCACTTTGGAGACATTATCATATTAACTGATTTAACAGACTTAATATTACACACTTTAAAGACTCAATATTCTTCACAATAAGATACGCAAAAGAATTGACTTTAATATTGTTTGAAAAATGAAACTGCATGTACATTTCCATTATTGGCTCAGTTATCCAAAATGAATATTGAAATAAAGCTATGTCGAAAATAAAGTGTGTACCTAACTCATAATACGGTTGAAATTAATGTGCTAGGTACAAAATGCATTCCTGTTTTCGTCATTGCAAGCATAAAGAAACTAACATATGCCCTATGAAAATTAAAAAACACAAGAATTTGTATTGGCATAAAAAAAGAAATATATACATAAAGATATAGGATTCATAACAACACCATCAATGATACTGGTTGGAATATGTGTGTTCATTTTACCCCCCCCCCCCCCCCCCCGCCCCCAATCTTGATAAAAAGGGCGGAAAACTGTCGTAGGTTAGTGGATATTCTAGGTAAGGGTTAGGTTTTAGGGTAAGAGCTAGTGTTAGGTTTAGGTATGGGTTAGGGTAAGGTTTAGGGTTAATGATAGTTTAGTATAGCTACATCTACATCGTTGAAATGCAAAGGGTCTAAGACCGGTCTTAGACCCATCACGCAAGTACTAATTAAGCCATTCAGTATTGTGCTCATTAAAAACATATTTACATGTGAAATTAAAATTTAGTGTTTGTTGCGTGACAAATCTGTTAAATAAGATGTGAGGCTGTTCCTGAATGCCTCTGAATCTTCTATCTTCAGCAGTATATGGGTTGGGACTCCCAAAGTAAAAGAAGGCCGAAAATAAAAGTATTTGAGTTTGGATTAAATTATAACATGAAACGAGCCGATTTCAACAGACTTAGTAGAGAGAACAGAAACACATATTAGAAACAAATATTTCCTTGTTGTTATATCTTAAAATGACAAGTTTTCTGATATTTATGAAGTAAGGAACGATGGAAATGGTCCTCTGTACTTGAACGCCATCTTACCTCTTTCACTGTTCTTTGTAATTAGACTATCACCGTTGACGACGTTTGTTCCTCGATGATCTCTATGACGTCAGACAAAGGGGGTGTATTCAACATCGGCTGGTTGAATCATGATCAGATGAGTCCGTTACGTTAGCTTTATAATAAGAAACGTTAAGAGGGATTCAAGACTTCGTACTTTTACGATAGTTTGTTATCGTTCTATAAAATCGGTGCAGTACATGTATAAATGTGTATGCTTGAGTATAGACATCTCCGCAGTATGTTATCTAAGCCAAACTTATGCCACTGGAAATCAACGCGAGACACAAAATTTGATAAGGTGAAAACACTATCCACAGAATTGTTACGTGCTAATTAAAGGCTAAAAAGCCAGAGATGTAAATATCTTATAGAAAGCAATATATAAAAATGCTTCAGTCTAGTCCTACCCCACTGAAAACTGTCTAAAAAGTAGACAAACCCGTGTAAGATCAGTTATGTTTGAGGCCGGATCACGGGTAGTAACGTCATCATATTCTTCTTCTTCCAAGTAAGGATATATCATATATATGGTTCCGCGAAGACTTTGCGCAGTGGTGGGCAACACAGCAAATCTTCTCAAAGCTATTTACATTTGAAACATTCTCCAATGTTCAATTAAAACCATATACAATCTGTGTTGACTACTTCTGAGCAGCTCTGAATCCCTCTATTGTATCGACCGAGGTGACTTTAGATGGAAATTGATTCCAATCCCTGATGGTCTTTGGGAAGAATGATTGTCCATAGTAGTCAGTTTTTGTTTTTTCTTGATAAAAGTTCATACCATGGGACTTTTAAGTACAGTAATTTTGTCATAGTTTGGTCCAGTTGGTCATGATTGGTTCAATTTTTTTGAATGACAAACAATGACAAAATGAAAATATTGGTTTTTTTCCTAAAAGAAATTATGAAGATCAATTTTGCCTTGTAAGTAGCTTTCTTTTATGATCTCGAATAAAAAAAACTTAAATAGGCCAAATCAAGTAAGAAGTTGAAGAGCATGGAGGACCCAAAATTCCGAACGGTTTTGCCAAATACAGCTAAGGTAATTATGTTTGTAAATATGTTTTTTTAAATTATATAGATGATAATATGAGACATAAACGCTTGCATACGACTATTTTAAATGTTGGGTTATTGTTTTTCACACGTAATTTTTTTTTTATTTGTATAACAAGTTATTTGTTATAATTAACAATTGCTTTTAAATATTAAAAAAAAAATCGAAATTTTTGCAAATAATTTTACTTTTATGAAAATTCAGTGTCATAGTTTGGTTAAGTAATGTAATGGTTTGGTTCGAGTTCGCCCGATGGTTCAATTCTGTAATTCATACATGTATGTCATACTTATGAAATACAATTAGAGAGATAGATAAACAAATAAACAAACAGCATGCAATTATTCAAATAATTTTAGTCTATAGAGTTCATGAAAATAAGTATAACAGATTCAAAATATGGTTTTCACTTGGAAAATGACAAAATCTTAACAAATGAAATTACGTATAGTAATGTTACTAATTTGCAGTTCAAAATTGAGTTTTGCTGTCAATATAATGAGCTTTAAGTGTAGATTTATTTTCAATTCTGGGACACCTTACTTAACCACAGAGACCGATTTCTGTCGGTTTAACAAACATATTACCAAAAATGCCAATGATATAGCTATGCTGCACCAGATATAAAATACCGTGGATGTAAGCAACTATAGGTCACCGTTTGACCTTTAAAAAAAATCAAATCCAATACCATCTAGTAACTATAAAAGGTCCCGATATGACAAAATGTGAAACAATTCAATCGAAAAAAAAACAACGAAAAAGACTGGTTACGTATCACAGCATCATTACATCATTCCTCATATCATATTAACTATTACAAAAATAGGATATGCCAAGGAAATGCTAAAATATTTATAGAAGTTTAATCAGAAGACCTTCGACGAATACTTTTATTTAGCAAATGGTGGTTTAAGAAAGCAGAGCTTGTATTTTGTTATTTTTAGATAGTGTCCGTTGGTATTTCAAGCGTATCAGCTTTGTCTTTTACCGACAGAGGTAAATGTTTTTTGCAAATCGGATTCCAATTATTCCACGATAAAAAAATCTAAGCTTCATGAGAGGTCTTGGAAATCAGAACTTAAATGAAAGGATGAAATTGCATAACCAGAGCATTTAATTTGGAATTGGATAATCAAAATGCTATTCCAACCAAACAAGTTTATCTTCTTTA